GGGACCGTGAGACAGAAAGACAAGAAGTAGTGCCTGGCTTCTAACCCTAGCCAGACCACTGCCAGTGATTTGGCCTTGGAGAATGGCTTCCGTGCCCCAGCCTGACCTTGCCACCTGCAGCTGGTGGTGCTGAGACTCCACACCCTTTTCCCACTGCGGGAGTGCTAACATCAGCTTGCCTAGCATACTGACAACCATATTCCCTTCCAGTCCCTAGCCCATCCTTCAGATTGTCAAAAGGGGTGGGGCTGGGTTTTCAGTGCTGACAGCTGAACACTCTTGTCACGGATTTTCTTTTGAAGTTCACTTTTTTAATTTTTCTTTTGAAACACTTACAAAGAGCAGTCGGCGACTTTCTTTCCACCGTGCTTATATTTAACTTAGGGGGGAGAGAGAAAGGTTTCCCACACAATGTAACAGAAAAAAAAAATAAGAAACAGTTGAAGTAAATGAAAATATTGATGACAATTGGCGTCCTAGCTGCACTCCTGTGAATGAAGTATATTATTTGAGAGCTGTAACAAACTCAGGAATGTACAAACACGAAATCGTGTGATTCTGTTTTTTAGCTGTAAACGTCCCAGAGCATTCGGCATCTCCTTTGGGACAAGTGTCCAGCCTCCTTCCCTTTCCCCAACTGTGCATATGTGCACGGCCACAGTATTTGGAGAATGAACTCCCTGTTTGGTTTCATAGTATGTGGCAGGGCAGGGACACAGGCTGATCCCTCTAGGGAAGCACTGACTTTGGTTAACTTTAATTAGCTAATTGTGCACCCCCCACTACTTAATATATGAGGAAATGAGGACAAGCACCCTTGCCTTGGTGTAATTAAAACTAAAGTGATGTCAGCAGCAGGTCTGAAAAGGGATTTCTATTTGTTTTATCACCAAAAGGTGGCGTCCTACCCCCATGCCCTTTATTTAAAAGAAAAAAAAAATCAACACACACACACACACACAAAATCCTTCTTCCTTTAATTTGACAAAAAGAAACTTTCAGTTGATTACTGATAAAGAAATTAGAAACCTGTTTCCTGTGAAGGCAGCATGGCAGTATTCAAAGTGGACAGTATGTTAAGACACAGTCAAGTGTTCCTGTAATGTTAACCAAATGGGCGTGGGCTTCTCCAATAAGCCTGCACATCAGACGGTATCATATCCCAAAACAGTGCCATATATCATGGGATTTACAGCCAGGATTTCCTTTTGTCTGCAAAACGTGTTGTCAGTCTGTCTTTAGCCTCTTCTTGTAAGTGAAGGCAGAATTTAAGACAGTTAAAATTCAGACCAAGTCAGTAGCAAGCTAAGGATTTCATTGTTGGTACAGTTATAATTGGAAAAAAAGGCCCTACGAAAACAATACAAACCATGGCTGAGTCTGATAAACAAAATCACAGTAGTAATTGTTCTTTATGGACTATGCACAGAGATGTCATATTTAAATAAACTGCTGTTTCCCTGGAGTTACAATTGTACAACCAGCTACATACCATAAATAACTTATATTTGGCAGGACCATCACAGAAATTAAGAACAGTGTTTTTCCCTCACAGATTCCTGTTTAATTCCACGTGAATTCCAAATATGGACTTTCCAGCAATGTCCACGGTTTTGTGAGACTATCAACTAACTTGTCACAAACCGTTTAGATCAGTCTAGGCCATAGCAAGCATTCAATAAATATTACATGTTATTACTGTCTGCAGTGGCCTGTGAGAGTCCAGAAGGCAAGAACTTACTATACATGTATATTTTAAAGTATGATCTGGAATATTACAGAACATGTATTAATGGCCTAACAAAGAAAACATGGATCCTTAACAGAATACAAAATACGTTTCACATATGTAATTTCTAGTATACAAAAATGGGGTGGCCAGTCTTGTCTGCTTGGCATGAAGTGTTTTACAGCATGAATTCCAGCAGGCTCTGTTACTCAGTACACACTGCTTTTCGCTGGCAATATCAGTGAATGGTTTTGTTGTTAATTATTTTACTTTCCAAACGGAGGATATAAATTTAAATGGTAGTCTCACCTCCTTCCAATTTCAATTTAAATTCTGCACATGAAAATTTAATATTTGTCAAAAGGCATTATCCAAGACAATCTACTATAACTGAGTCGGGGTATTATTTACATGTTTTAGTCTCGGGATGCAAAAGGCAATAATCAAGCCTAGCTCCCTAAGCGCTTTGGGGGAACCCCAAAATAATTTCTGTTCACTAGAAGCCACAGAGGTCCGGTTTCAAAGTCCCGTGCTGGAAATGCAAAATCAGCTTCCCTGCCTATTTATATTGATAAAAGTGCTTTTTGTCTTATGTATTTTTATTTATACTTCAAAAACACTTCTTTTGGGCTCGTTGGATACTTATTTAAATTCACAGAACTCAACCAAACTTCAAAACAGCAAAAAGAAAAAAAAAATCTCACCTTCCCACCTTTCCAAAGAATTGCACAAAGCTTTTTCCTCACGTGACTGATGTTCGAGAGAGCAGGTAATTTGTGTTAAACAAGTGATTGACATGCTAGCCCCCGGGTGTTTTCCTAAGAGGAGCTGTGGAGAAAACACATTTCTCCCCGCAGCCACTTCCCCCCCAAAGTGGACCTGGCCACGGGGACAGCATTCCTGCAGAGGCTGACAAGGCCTGAGGGACTAAGTTCTTACTCTCAACACTCTCTCCCGATTCCGTGATGCAGGGGAAAATCCCCCTGGCTGGAGGGGTTTCTGTTTCCTCGCAATCAGGGGTTTGTCCTTCAGCTGAACTTTCACCTTCCGAACTCGCCTGCTTTCATTGGACAAAGTGCAGAAAGAAAGGGGAGAGACCGAGGGAGGACCCGAGAGCAGGCGCGGGGCTGGAACGGCCGCCCCTGCCGCCCTCCGCTCCAACTGTCACCCAGGCGAAGCACTTTCACTTTTAACTGGAAGAAACTCCATCCCTGCCTGTCCTCTCCCCTCCAGGATTTTTTTAGCTCAGACCCGGGCGAATCGTCTCTCAGTGTCCCTAGTTGCTGACACTCCTTCACACCATTTCCCTGGGTCTGAATGAGTCCCTCTCCCCCTCTTTTAAGGGAACCCCCATCTACCTCAGGCCCCTCATTTTCCAGTTTTTTCATCCAGTCTCTTTTTGCCTGGGAACTGTTGTGGCGTTCCCGTCCAGGGTTTCGGGGCTCTGCCTTCCTCTCTTCTTCCCCTCCCCAAGTCCCTCACTTGGCAATTGCGATTTTTTTTTTCTTCTGCGAGCCCTGTTGTTTACCCAGCAGGTGGATGTGACGTCAGGGACGCACAACAGCAAAAAATAACAACATCTCCCTCCGCGACGCGATGGCCTCTCGCCCGCGCCTTATTTATTTATTTGTTCCGGGATGCGGGGGGAGGGGGCAGACAACCCAAGGGCACCACATCGAGGTGTAGATCGCTCTCAGGGGGTGGCGGGGGGCCTCCGGGGTGCGCAGGGAGAGGTTGGGGCCTGGCCCGGGGCTGGGGCGGGGGGGGGGGCGTCTCGCGGCTGCAACACTGGCGCGGCTCGGGAAGGAGTCCCAAGCGGAGGAATCTATTGTTATTTATTGTGTGGCAGCTGCACGCTGTGCTCGCGGCCCGGCCCTCGCCCGCGAGTGCGTGTGTGTGCGCGCGTGTGCGCGGGTGAGTGTGTGAGAGGGGGGCGCGCGCGGGCGGGAGTGGGCGCGCGCGGGGAAAGGCCCCCGAAAACACCTTAGTTTGCACCGAGAGACCATTTGCCGCGGGTGAGTTCGTATTTTTCCATTTCTGCTCCACTTTTTTTTCCCAAGCCGCCTCCTGTCTTGTTTCCGCCACTTTAAACAACAACAACAACAACAACAACCAGCACAAAAAAAAGAAAGGAGAAAAAAAGAAAAAGAAAAGAAAAAATTCCTACTTTTCACCTCCAGGCTCCACGTGCATCTCCCCCAACCCTCTGTTCTTGTCTTGCTCCCGAGTCGGGGCCCAGGCTCTGCGTGGGTGGGGGCCGCACTGGGCGCCGGGCTGGAGGAAGCGCGGGAGGCACCCGCACCCTTGGGTTCATTTGCATAAGTCACTGTGGGGTGCGATGGTGGCCGCACGGATGAGCTCGCCTCCCCCTAGGCCCCTCGCGCCTCTGCACTCGCTCACACTCGCTAGGGCAGAGCGATCAATAAGCCCAGGCCGCCTGTCGCAACTTTGAGTGCCCAGCGTCAGCGTTTTGGTAGCCGCCTGGTGCGGGTAGACCGGACCCGGCCGCTGTTGGCGGGGGTGTGTGGCATCCTTTACCGAGCTCAAAGTTTGAACTTGGAGCAAACTTTTCCCCTGCTATGCAAGGGTGCGTGCCCCTTCTGTACCCTGGGCTGCCCGGCGAACAGTGGAGGGCTTAGCAGGGACGCCTGCGCCCAGGGCCCGGTGCTTGGCGACATCCCTATAGCCACGCGTGTTTTGGTCCGAACTCAGCAGTGTGGACGCTCTCTAGCTAACCCCTGGGAGCCTGGAAAACTCATACACACACCCGCGCACCCTCTGCCAGACAGGCATCCCACGCGCGTTTGGCCCCCGCTTGTCAGAAACGGCGTCCGCGCCAGCCGTAGCCGGATCGCGGGTGGGCATGGGGACAGGGCACGCCTCGAGGACTCTCGGCGCCCGTACCCTGGACCCCCCACCACCAAACACTTTCGCTTCTGACTCCTGCGCCTCTTAAGCTCAGGGATCTGTCCTGCGACACGCGCGTGCCACCGCGTCCCTCCGGCCCTGTCCCAGCCACCGATGGCTTTCCATTTCTCGCCTGCGCGCAGCTTTCCTCCTGTGCTCTCTGCACTTGGTTCCTGTCCCTCGGAGACATCTCTCTGGAGCCGAAGAGACGAGGCGGCGCGCGCTTCGGGTGGGGACCGAGGCGGTGGTGGCGGCGCCGGGATCCGAGGAGTTTGCCAGCTGCCGCAGGGTCGTGGTCATCTGCTGCCTCCGCCTTCCCCCCGCCCCCGCCTCCCACCCCCCCACCAGTCGCACTCGGAAACTTTGATTCCTTGTCCCCCTCCCCACCTGTTGTGAGCTCCGCCTCAGTCCCTGGAGACTGGCGGTGACACACACGGGCGCCAGGGAGCTCCGCGCCCAGAAACAAAGTCGCATGCCCCCCCTCCCCGTGTTTGCTTGGAAATTGCTGCCTGCAGCACCCCCATTCCCGCGCAGCTCCCGCCCCCTGGGAGCCTAAGGACTAAATAAACAGTTGTAACTCCAAACCTTGCGCCTGCCATCGCAGCCCTATCCCACCCCTTTCCCCCGGTCCTGCCCCTCCTTTTTTGTTGTTGCAACTTTGTAAGATCCCGGGAAGGTGCTGAGACTAACGCTCAGGCCGCGCTCTGGGTCTCCGGATCCCTGCAGGGATTCCCCGCGGCGCATCCTTCTCCCTTGTCCCCCGCGCGCTCGGGGGTCTTCTCCGTCCCTTTGCCACCTCTATCTCTGGTCCTGGCCCTTTCTGCCTAATTACCTAGTCCCCTTCGACCTCCCCCGACCCCGAAACCTTCGCGGAAGGAAGACTTGCTCAGGGTCGTCCCGGTCTCTTGTCGATCGCAGACCCCGAAAGTTTGCCCCAGGAGGACGGTGCGCAGCGGGCGAACGGGCGAGGGGCAGCAGCGGCACGGAGGAGCGTGGAGCTGCCGGCGCCTCCTCCCCAGACTCGGTGGGTAAGTCGAGGCGGCCGTGGCAGGCGCGCGGGCGGGCGGGGGAAAGCCGGGGCGCTGTATCAGCCTGGGCAACCAGATCGCTGTGACCAGGCGCAGGGAGCAGGGAATGTGCCCATTAGGCTGGTAGGTGCTAGCAAATACTGGACCAGCTTTCTCCCTTTTTTCTCACTTTCTTCCCTGAATCCGAAAATCTGGAGATCAAAGTTAACGTGGAATGTGAAGTGTAAAATGTAGTGACATCCCTTGCTCTCCTTCTCAGCCCGCTCCCCCCTTATAACTATTAATTATTTCCAAGCCATTGTGTCCAATACCCTAGCTGGACTGATTTCAGAGTGTATTGATTTAGGCTAGGCTCATCCTACGCTTTCATCTTAATTTATTTTCTTATAGCTTGATTAGAGGACCCAAAATGAAACTTCTTTCTTCTTTTTTCTCCCCCTCCCCTAGCCCCTTCATTTGGGTATTTTAAGTAGAATAATGAAATTAATATGAACATTTCATTTGAGCTTATTAAGCTCACTGCTGAGGGCCCAGGGTTGCTCTCACGAAAGGCTCCAGGTATTTTCCAAGTTCAGATTTCTTATTTTGTCTCTGCTCTTTAAGGCAGAAAGCTGCGGGAACGTTTTGGATTCTGGTTGACGAGTCTGCCGGTTGAAGCCCTTATGCACTTCACCTTCTTTGGGCCATAGCCTGGAAGAACTTGCAAAATAGCTGAACTGAGAAAAACACCCAAGGATATCTAAGGAATTTTTTTCTGTTCCTGAAAATGTTTTGGAGGATCTTAGCTTTTACCTTCCTTGCTCTCTTCTTTTTTCACAGTGAGAATGAGTTTTTGGGCTAGCGTGATGAGAATTTGATAAGGGCTAGTAAGATTTGAGGGGTTTTCTATCTAGGGGTTGCTTGCTTAATGGAGGCAGCTGAGTCTTTGCTAATTTCTATTTCAGGTCATTTTCAAGAATTCCATTCTGGTTTTGATTTTGAATTACCTATTTCTTTTGAGTCTGGAAAAAGAAAAAAAAACTGGGCTCATATTTGCAAAAAAAAAAAATGGAATGGGTTTGCCCCCTCCATTCTTTCAGATGTCTCATAATTAAAGAGTATTAAAAGTATAAATGAAATTCAACCACTTACCATTCAAAGTGTCAACTAAAATTTTACTGCAAAGGTGAAGAGGTTCAGCATCTTCCTAGTGGCTGCAGCTCCCCTACTCCCCCCATTTTGGATTAGTCATTGTATGAGGGGAATGCACTTTTTCCCCCTTTCTTCTTCTTCCCTCCCCCCCTTTTTTTAAAAGTAAAGTAAACAGCCTCCAACTGCTGAACCTTGACAACCCAAATTAAGGAAGCAGGGGAGATCAAACAGGGCTGCTGCTGGGCTGTTGTCAGGGTCTGCTGTAAGGGAGAACCCAGCAAGGCTATATGTTCACTTATGCAGAAATGGACCATTGCAAATGCTTATCTTTATTGTGCAAGTGAAGCCTCACTTGGAAGGAAATACCCAGCCTCTGGGCTGTATTTGAGATCCTATGGATGCTAAATTGCTAAACAAGTTACTATTTTGTAATACATTTCTTTTTTTAGGAGAGCGCACCCCCAAAAGGTGTCCAAAAAGAATATTAAGTCATCTCAATTCTGTCTTGCTGGCTAACCAGAACCTCACCGTGGAACTCTTTTTACCAACATTAGACTCCCACACCAGTTAGATAACATTTTCTCACATCCAGCTTAGAAGCTTTGCCTTCTCAGGGAAGCCAGGGTTTTATATGTGAAGGTTTAAATCTGCTGTGTAGTTAAAAACAAAAAAAGAAGAAACCCAAGTGATGAAGCCCACTCTTGGAATTTAAAAAGAGGAGAGCCTTGTCTAGATTACACATGACCTCTTTTTTTTCTTCTTTGATTGACATTCAGTATGACCAGCTGCTACTTTATTTAGGTTCTTTGTAACTTGGCCTCCCTTGTTGTCTAGGAAATTGTAACTACTTTACATTTTTAAGGAAAGTCGCAACAGTAATCACTTTAGCATTTTATTTTCACAGGTTTATCAAAGTTAAACAAATGAGCTATCAACTATTCAAAGTAACTGTGTGGAATGAAGGGGTTTACATTGCTGGAGATGTCTTCAAGATACTATGTTTATATTTAAATGCTGAAGTGTAAACTATGTAACACTTTTTTTCCAGTTACAAACTATCTCCAAATTAAATGTCATCTTTAATTAAGTAGAACAAAGTAGGAAATAGGATAAGTAAACATACACAAAGAATAAAAAATCTTTGTCATTTAAGGCTTGTATTTTTAATTTACTAGTGCCTGTCACATAGTGACTACTTTGTTTTGTTTTGTTTTTTGTTTTTGTTTTTTAATAAGCTAGCGTTTCATAACCATGGTCCACAACATGTTTCAAAGTCTGGCACTTTTATTGGGCATACCTTTATTGTACAATTAGGCAATGTGGGTTAAACATACACATGAATGCTGTTAGGCAATTTTCAGCAGTATATCATGTTTTTAAAAAGCTGTAAATATTTTCTAGTAGGATCATTTGCACCAACAATAGCAGAAGTTAATCGAGTTAATATTGGGCCTAAGCATTTTTATTTTCCCTGTGACTAAGGTTTTCCTTGCTTCTCTCCAGACCCTTGACTTGCTACATTTGTATTCTTAGGCTCTGTGGAAGGGTGTTGTGTTTGCAGCAGTTGTTGAAATGAACAGAAGAACTGGGCTATTTCCCAAACAAATATATTTTACTACAGCATGACCAATACCAGAATTATGAAAGAGAAGGGAGGGGATAGCACATTTGACAGCCTCTTTCGAATCCAGCTTCCTCTTTACAGCCACTCTTTCTGTATGCATTTTAATTTGCTTTTCACATTTTACTTGAAACTCAAACTTAATTTTGTGCATTATCTTTCCACCTCTCTCTCTCTCTCTCTCTCTCTCTCTCTCTCTCTCTCTCTCTCTCTCTCACACACACACACACACACACACACACACCCCACAGTATATTCTGACATCTTTAGGTGCTAGAGGTCTGGTCCTATTTCAGTGGCTAAAGCAAGAGTATTTACAGAGAATAGCCAGAGTTTTGCCTTTTAAAAATAATTCTAGGGACACGTTAATCAAATTTCAATAGATTTCAGACTGACAGAAAATAGTATAAATTTTGTTTATGATTTGGTTACTTTAAGACACTTACATTAAAGAAACTCATTTAACCCCTGAGTGCATAGCATTAAGTAGGGAGGGGAGCTCTGCAGAGGCCTTCGGCTGCCCTTTGCTCTCTTGATAATCTTAAATTACTACAATTTAATTGCAACTTCAAGGAATCGAGTATGGGCTGTTTCTGCAGGTTTCAGAAAGGGTTTCCAGAGCTTAGCTTCGTTTACACAGGTGCTATTTTTATTTAAAACAATTTTTTTCTGATACTTTTTCCTTCCATTCTTATCCTGTTAGATATAATACCCCTTCTGTACATTTCAGTGAAGGCCGTTTTTGCTAAATAAGCAATACTGGCCATTGTCTTAAAGCATGGTTTAAAATCTATAATATAAATAAAAGCCCTGAGCCGGGAATTGGTTACCCAAAGAAAATAAACCCCAGAAAGGCACTTAATGACTGAACAGGTGAATCTGTACATGAGGTTTTGTATATACATTTATTAGTTGCAGAGATTTTTTTTTCCCCAGTAAATCCTACCAGGTGATCAAACACTGAGCTTGTGAGAGAATCCAGCCAGAAAGGTTTGCATGTTTTCTAAATGCTCTTCCCCTTGACTTGTTACCTTCATCTGCAGGCCACTTAGCCACAGGCCAGGCACGGTATGCAAGGGGCCGTCTTCAACTGGATTTCGAAAATTACTTCTCTTGTCTGACACTTGGATGAATTAAAATCGGAGATGCCAAAAAGCTGGTGCAGCAGCAGACTGTGATAGGAGATGACTTCTTAAAATAGGGGCCAACCTGGCCAAATTAGGATGCCTCCCGCATGCCAGTTAACCCTTCCCTCCCTCGGAGATTCTTTATCTCAGTGTGCGTATGACCACAGGGTTAATGGAGGGAAAGCAGATTTGGCTTGTGTCCCCAACCTCGAAATAAACGTAAGGAACATTTGATTTTAAGAGACGCTTTGCTTCTGCTCCCTCCCGTGATGTTCTTGCTCCGTGGGCTTCAGCCTGGTGTTCTGCAGGGAGGAAGTGCATGGAGGTCAAGTGCATGGCAGTTAGGAAAGACAATTAGACAGCTTTCTTTGTTTCTTTAGTAAATTATTCTTATTAATTACTGTCAGTTAGTGGGAAGGCATTTTTCAAACCTTGTGTAGAAGGCAGCGCCCATTCATGAGAAGGTGCTGGCAACTGTTCTTTTCTCTGCTTTTACTCACGTGAGGTATGTCAGTCAAGGCTGGCCTGTAACCTTCTCACTGGGGCTTGCTTTGCTTTCTTCAGTCCCCGGATACCTGTTTTCAATGTATGTGTTGCCTCTTGAACACAACAGGTGCTTGTTTGGTTGTTAGTGTGTGGTTCTGAAAGTGAGCGAAGTGTTTCTCAGGCAGCCACGAGAAGGAAGAACATGCAAGGAAGGGCCTGGCACCTGAACAGGTGCAAGGGTCTTTTCCTCTGTGAGCGCCTCGCCTAACATCTTTCTGTTTTACAAAAGCCTGGCATGGGCACTGAAGGAGGCTGCTTTCACCTGGTGCAGTTTACAGTGATGCTGTGGTAATTTAAGGCTCTGGGGTGAGCATAGGGCACTGGGGGCTTTCTGTTGGCTTGATCCCTGTTCTTCCAAGCCACTCAGTTGTTGGGTTAAATTAGTTTCCTCAATCCCAGTACTTAAAGTAACGAAATCGTAAACAAAATTTATATTAGATCCTGACAACTAATAATCTATTTAAATTACATTAAAGTATCTGGGCAAAATTTTAATTAAAGACCGAAGTACTGTCAAGCCCTGTAAATATCCTGACAGGTCTACTCAAATGGAACTGATACCGTGAAATATTTAC